CTCATACTCTTGTGGTCTCATTCTGTTGTGGATACTCTTGTGGTCTCATACTCTTGTGGTCTCATTCTGTTGTGGTCTCATACTCTTGTGGTCTCATACTCTTTTGGTCTCATATGTCTCATACTCTTGTGGTCTCATACTCTTGTGGTCTCATATGTCTCATACTCTTGTGGTCTCATACTCTTGTGGTCTCATACTCTTGTGGTCTCATACTCTTGTGGTCTCATATGTCTCATACTATTGTGGTCTCATTCTGTTGTGGTCTCATGCTCTTGTGGCCTCATACTCTTTTGGTCTCATACTCTTGTGGTCTCATACTCTTTTGGTCTCATACTCTTGTGGTCTCATGTCTCATTCTTGGTCTCATTCTCTTGTGTCTCATACTCTTGTCTCATACTCTTGTGGTCTCATACTCTTTGTGTTCTGTTGTGGTCTCATACTCTTGTGGTCTCATACTCTTTTGGTCTCATATGTCTCATACTCTTGTTGTCTCATACTCTTGTGGTCTCATATGTCTCATACTCTTGTGGTCTCATTCTCTTGTGGATACTCTTGTGGTCTCATAATCTTGTGGTCTCATATGTCTCATACTCTTGTGGTCTCATACTCTTGTGGTCTCATATGTCTCATACTCTTTTGGTATCATACTCTTGTGGTCTCATACTCTTGTGGTCTCATACTCTTGTGGTCTCATATGTCTCATACTCTTGTGGTCTCATACTCTTGTTGTCTCATACTCTTGTGGTCTCATACTCTTGTGGTCTCATACTCTTGTGGTCTCATCCTCTTGTGGTCTCATACTCATTTGGACTCATATGTCTCATTCTCTTGTGGTCTCATTCTGTTGTGGTCTCATTCTGTTGTGGATACTCTTGTGGTCTCATACTCTTGTGGTCTCATATATGTCTCATACTCTTGTTGTCTCATTCTCTTGTGGTCTCATTTGTCTCATACTCTTGTGGTCTCATACTCTTGTGGTCTACTCTTTTGGACTCATATGTCTCATGGTCTCATATGTCTCATGCTCTTGTGGCCTCATACTCTTTTGGTCTCATACTCTTGTGGTCTCATACTCTTTTGGTCTCATATGTCTCATACTCTTTTGGTCTCATACTCTTGTGGTCTCATACTCTTTTGGTCTCATATGTCTCATACTCTTGTGGTCTCATATTCTTGTGGTCTCATATGTCTCATACTCTTGTGGTCTCATTCTCTTGTGGATACTCTTGTGGTCTCATACTCTTGTGGTCTCATATTATGTTGTGGTCTCATACTCTTGTGGTCTCATACTCTTGTGGTCTCATATGTCTCATACTCTTGTGGTCTCATACTCTTGTGGTCTCATACTATTGTTATCTCATATGTCTCATACTCTTGTGGTCTCATACTCTTGTGGTCTCATACTCTTGTGGTCTCATACTCTTTTGGTCTCATATGTCTCATACTCTTGTGGTCTCATTGTCTTGTTGATACTCTTGTTGATACTCTTGTGGTCTCATACTCTTGTGGTCTCATACTCTTGTGGTCTCATTATGTTGTGGTCTCATACTCTTGTGGTCTCATACTCTTTTGGTCTCATATGTCTCATATTCTTGTGGTCTCATACTCTTGTGGTCTCATATGTCTCATACTCTTGTGGTCTCATACTCTTGTGGTCTCATACTCTTGTGGTCTCATACTCTTTTGGACTCATATGTCTCATACTCTTTTGGTCTCATACTCTTGTTGTCTCATACTCTTTTTGTCTATTATGTCTCATAGTCTTTTGGTCTAATACTCTTGTGGTCTCATACTCTTTTGGTCTCATATGTCTCATACTCTTGTGGTCTCATCTCTTGTCTCATCTCTTTGTCTCATGGTCTCATACTCTTGTGGTCTCATGGTCTCTTGTGGTCTCATACTCTTGTGGTCTCATTCTCTTGTGGATACTCTTGTGGTCTCATAATCTTGTGGTCTCATATGTCTCATACTCTTGTGGTCTCATATGTCTCATACTCTTTTGGTCTCATACTCTTGTGGTCTCATACTCTTGTGGTCTCATATGTCTCATACTCTTGTGGTCTCATTCTCTTGTGGATACTCTTGTTGTCTCATACTCTTGTGGTCTCATACTCTTGTGTCTTATACTCTTGTGGTCTCATTTTGTTGTGGTCTCATTCTGTTGTGGATACTCTTGTGGTCTCATACTCTTGTGGTCTCATACTCTTGTGGTCTCATATGTCTCATACTCTTGTGGTCTCATTCTGTTGTGGTCTCATTCTCTTGTGGTCTCATATTCTTGTGGTCTCATATGTCTCATACTCTTGTGGTCTCATTCTCTTGTGGATACTCTTGTGGTCTCATACTCTTGTGGTCTCATTCTGTTGTGGTCTCATACTCTTGTGGTCTCATACTCTTGTGGTCTCATAGGTCTCATACTCTTGTGGTCTCATTCTGTTGTGGTCTCATAGGTCTCATACTCTTGTGGTCTGATAGGTCTCATACTTTTGTGGTCTCATTCTGTTGTGGTCTCATAGGTCTCATACTCTTGTGGTCTCATAGGTCTCATACTGTTGTGGTCTCATACTCTGGTGCATGCCTCATCGCCACGCACGAATATCGATAAATATGTGAATTTACAGTTGTGTTGGTTTGTATTTCGCGCGTTTAAATATGTCTCCGAGAAACAAAAACCGTTGTATAAAGTCTTACCCCTATTCCGTCAGAAATATGATCTTTTACGCTAATTTTTATTCCTAGAGGCTGAGAGTATCGACTGTTCCAAGGAGTGTGCATAGCTTTGAGGCTAGGCCAGCTAACCGAATGTTTTCGTTGAATTTGTGTTCCTAAACCTAGGAATAGATGTAAACTATATTTATTCAATTTACTCACATTTAATTGTAGTTATTTACCAAGATATTGTCGAAAGTCAGTTTTTAATTAATATTTACACATAAGTTGATGTACTCTCAGCGTGACGTATGGTGATGCATACGTATACTCTGTTTCTTGTTAAAAACTTTTATCAACCCTTTTCTTACCAAATGTCGTTTAGACATAATGGAATGGCAGTGTATTAGATATCTCAAAATTTATCCAATGCTTCTTCGCGCTTGCGTTGGACTGAGGTTAAAGATCAGTGTCACTGTTACAACTCGTCGTCCGTATGGCGTCCGTCAGCATTTTACTAAAAATCGCTACTAGTCATGGACGACTGAAAAAACGGTCAGAAGCATTCTTGGTGAAGGGGAACCAAGTTTATAAAAATGTTGGGTTTCTACACCCAGGGTCGGGAGGTGTGAGGCCCAAAAAGGGAAATTTGGCATGTTCTTTAAAATCCAATTCCTCTTGTAGTGATGAGTGGAAATTTCCCAATTTGATTTGAAGAATTTTTCAATGAGAGAAATCAGTCTTGTATAGACGTGTTGTCTCGGTCCCCTGGGTCGGAAGGATGCGGAACCCAATAAGGGAAATAGAGCAAATTCTTTAAAACCATTCTTCACCTGTAGGCAAGAATGTGAATATTTCCCAAAAACGGCTGAAGTATTCTAGGGTGAAGGAGAATTAATCCTGTATAACATTAGGCCTCGGTCCCTTGGGACGAAAGGGGCGTGGCTCAATACGGAAATAGAGTAAATTATTTAAAATTCTTCTCCTTCTGCAGTAAATTAATGACTTTTGCCCAAATTGGGTCTGAAGCATTCTTGGGTGAAGGGAAATCAATCTTGTACTGACATAAGGTCTCGGTCCCTTGGAGCGGGGGAGGTGGAGTCAAATTGGGGAAATAGAGCAAATTTTTTAAAACCCTACTCCTCCTGTAGGCCATTGGCCAAATTTGGTCTGAAGCATCTTTGGGAAAGTGGAACCAATTTTTTATGGATATTGGTGCTCGGCCTCCATGGGACGGAGGGAGGGGCCCAGAAATGTAAATTTTGCAATTCTACTTCTCCTGTAGGAATGAATTGATTTAGCCGAAATTTAGTCTGAAGCATCCTTGGTGGAAGTGGAATCAATCTCTAGGGGAAAGGTAAGGTTTAAAACATCAGTCTTCCATACAAGGATATTATCGAAGTTTGTCTGAAGCAATTTCTATGAAAAGTGAATCTGCCATCTGTTTGACCACAAGGTCGAGACCCGAAAGGCAAATAACATCAGAGATTGCTTGTCGTAATTGAAATTTAATGAATATGGGTGGAAACGATATCAAGATGGCGAGCTTAGTAGCCCTTAACCAAAGGCCCCTCATCCACCAATTCCATCATTTGAGTGTGTTACGTCATCGCTTTTGTTTACCTACCTATCTGTATCTAAGATGGCGGAGTATGTTGATTGACGAGTTGATTTTGACGACGTTATTGATGATTTTGGCTTTGGCAGAGTACGTATTTCGACTGACGGGTTAAGGGTAAACGTTTATGATAAAATGACACAAAATTGATAGAAATCAAATGAGAAGTCAATAGAACACAAGTAAAAATCACCGGGTTAAGGTCAAATTTGAACTATTTTCCTGGTTTTTTTTTATAATAATATGGAATAAAGCTGGCTAAAATCAAATACAAAGTTGCCAAACTGCAGGAGAAGGTCACCAGGTCAAATGTCAAAAGCTAAATTATTTAGTGATTGATAATTTGCAATAACATGAAGCAAAATTGGCCGGAGTCAAACGAGAAATCTCCCGACTACAAGTCTAGGTCACAAATAAATAAATCGATGATAAATTTTCTATGTTTTACAGGTAACTGCATGATAGAATCAAATGAGAAACAGGCAAAGCTCACGAGGTCAATCCGATTAATTTATACTTGTAGATAATTTTTAAGTATCATGATCATAACATGACGTCACAATAAGTCATTTACACGTGTGTAAATATTTTACATGAGTATATTCACAATGTTATTTTGTTTTTCGCATCGATGATTTACGTGAACTTAACCCTATCCATAACACAACCGTTTATAGTGTTAGTCAACATTCAGTTGTTTCCCGATGAACACGAGATGTTATCTGTTTTGCAGCCTGGGCTGGTATGTGTGTAGTATGCCGGTCAGACCGCGATTCCGGCTGTGGTGAGACGATGGACATGAAGATTGTGAACGACTATGCAATGAAGTGCAACTCAAGTGTATGCGACAAGAGGGTCAACGATGAGATTCATAGTAAGTACAAGTTTATAGTGACTTGCTGCAATTTCTGGACAACATTCTCAAATTACTTAGGAAGGTTCCACTTGGTCCTCTACTGTGCATGTTCTATTTTGGAGACAAAAAGGTCCAGAGGCGGCCATCTTGGATTTTTACAATTATACTAGCTTGTAGACCTGTGGTAAATTAAATATGCTGGTTCCCCTTTGTCCCTTGTTTTTCATATTCAATATGGAGGGCTGATACGAAAATAATATGGCTGACAGGTGACCATCTTGGATATTCGAAAGTTTGGTATTTTTAATCTATATCTCAGAAAGATAAAGATGAATTATATTTAAATTTCACGTGTAGGTTTCATGTAATTTTGATGTCATGCACCTTCCCTGACAAGCCAAGTTTACGCCATGGTATGTTTGAATCATACACATTAAACCCATGTCTTGTAACGAGTATGTTTACTTTTGTACTTACAGAACTCGTGATTCGGCAGTGTGGCTCGGACGCGGCAGTGGACGAGGAATACTTCTCCCACAAATGTAAGGAACTGACAAATATCAAGGTGTGTAAATGTAAGGGAGACATGTGCAATGGTCAGTCCCAAATAAGGTCCAGTCTGAGCATGCTTACCGGCGTTCTATTGGTCGTCATTGCAGTTATACGATAAAAAGCACTCGGACAATACTATAAGAAAAGACACATGTAAAACAAATATTGTATACCCTTATATGGACATCACAATTATCATAGGCTGTAAACGTGAACCATTGAAAAACTTGTTTTTTTGTACCAAAACTGAGACCATTAACATCACTATTGACCATGGAGGATGTTGGCAGTACTTTTCTACAGAGTGAATATACGTAACTCGACCGAGAATTTGTATATAACTTTGTATACTTTGAGACGTCTGTCACATTTGATTTTAATGATAGAATTTGAGGAATTGTAATGTCATTTTAGTCTTGAATATTAGTGATATCATGTTAGAATTTGAATGATGGCGACTTCATTGTTATTTGAGTGATGTTGTCGTCATTGTAGAGTCTGAGTGATGCTGACGTCATTTTAGCGTTTGAGTGATGCTGACGTCATTTTAAAGTCGGAGTGATTCTAAAGTCGCTTAAGAGTATGAATAACGTAAACGTCATTTTAAATTTTGAGTGATGCTAACGACATTTAGAGTCTGAGTGATGCTGACGTCATTGCAGAGTCTGAGTGATTGTGGCGTCATTTTAAAATCTGGGTGATGTTAACGATTTTATGCAAACTTTTACTTAACAGTTCCACGCATTATTGTATAAATTGTAGTCGTTGTTGCCAAGGTAACAGATCAAACAGCCAAAACGTTGCCAAACGCTATTCTGATTTATTATTGGATTTCAATACCTTTTGTGCTATTCTTGTGCAGTGTCTTAATTTGATAGTCGGAAAGTTGTGATATTCTTTGACACTATGTGTAATGTATGTAATCAAGAGAAGACTTGCATTTAAAAAATTACGAAACAAATAGAATGCCGAATGATTGTTTGATATTTCATCTTTTACCCAACATATTGATGCTTTGTATTTTGAATATTTTCTTCGTTTAGGTTGAAATGATGAGAATGTGTGTTGTTATCATGATACATGTCACATTATGTATAAATGATCATCTTCTAGGTCCTCATTTGATAACAGTATTCAGGAACTGATTTATAAAGTGTGGTGGTTGCCATAGACGTCGTTCGAACGTCATGTTGAAATGTATTCAAATGTATGATATTTTCATGTAGCTATGTAAACAATAGTTTTAGATGGCAGATATAGCCTCAGTAGTGTGAAATAAAGAATTCTATACAGATTGTTGGCAGTGTGTGTAAAACATAGCATGAAATAGACTAAGTCTAGGTAATTACACTATCATTCCTCTTAAGCTTTTCGGTGCTCAGTCTGGTTTTCTTTCCAGTTATGAATTTGATGTGCTGTACTTAAATAAAGAATTATTTCAATTTGTCTTCTTTTTCTTCTTTATCGAGTTAATTACTCTACAGAAATTATTTTCAGAATGTCCGAATAAGCTTTGCCTGAGAACACATATTTCATTAACATTAAATACTGATTGTTCAACTGGAGACGACGTCATGATTTAGCAAAACAATATACTGCATTGGTATCACTTCGAGAGTTTAACTCAATATGACGACGACAATGCCATGTAGAAGTGTCATATGAAGTTTGAAGTGTTCAGGAAAATTGTGTTACTGGCACAAGCCCCCGGTAATCAAATAAAGCGCAACTTGTTGGGAAGACTAAAATGGAGAAAAAACAACATGTACATATAATCATAATCCAAACTCAAATTCAATAAAACTAGAGCAAAATATGAACAACAGAAAAATTATACAGGGAATAGAATTAAAGAGAACCAGATGTTCTGCTTCATCGACGGCACTCGCCATGTAAACCTTGGTCTGTCCTTTTAACACTGGTGGCCTTAACTCCCAACTACGCATTTCTACGCATTGTAACGTCGGTGTTGGAAAAACCGTCATATCTCTCTTATTTGTGGAGGTATGGTCTACTGATTATATCTCTTGAAACTAGAGAAAATGCTGAACAACGGTGGTCCATAGAATATTTTATTTTGGAAAATATTTCTTGCATTTTTAGCGAGTTGAAAATACAAGGCATTTTTCCCCGAACACTTTTTTCGGATGACGCCGTGTGCACGGTGTACATAAATATCTATTCACGGATCCGGTTTGTATTACACATAAAGAACAAGAGATTTCACTCGAATTTCAATACACATATACCTAATGTCCTAAATCTTATGCATGTTCCATCACTTTTACAAAATTCGCTGCAAATATTTTGGTTAGACGAATAAAATGCAACCGATACTATTCAAACAGTCTCGTCAGCCTACACTACACACCGTCGGCCGATTCGAATGATATTGCTTTAAAATACTCTCTGAATTATATTGCCATTTGAAGACATGTGGAAAATTTGTCAATAATTTCCATTCAGAAAATACCTAAACAAAGAAATCACGAGTTTTCAAAAACAGTCCGCTTGTTCGTGAACAAACATCACATTAAGTTGACGTTATGTATCGGAGCAAGCACCTGTGCGATTACGATCATAGTGCAACCTTCAGTCGTTTTATAATACGCCAAGTAAACAGTCGTTTTACCAGAAATATATGACTTTATTTGCATGAGATAGACAACGGTAATATACGATATCCAAATAGATGAAAAAGGAACCTAATCATCAACAACAAACGCTATTCATAGTGTTCAGGTATTTCCAATATGATCACTTTTAGAGGAGCGAACACATATTTTATAGGACCCGACTTATTTTGCAGAGATTATTCATCACTACAGTAAGATATGCTACTAACTTTGTGCATATCACCAGTTATTACATGTGATAACTCAGCAAAATATTGACATGTCACAATCAAGGCGATAGAATTCACCCGTGTTGTGTCTTAACATGATCTAAATGTCAAAACTACGATCTAACAATGTTTACAAATGATGGAGTGATACGGTAAACATGTATGCCATAAAGAAATGAACAGTGCGTTCATCTTATCACCAAATCATATCATAGGTAAGTATTATATGAAAACAAAAATGTATTCGTGTTATGCCATCTATGATGATATTGTGATGATTTTATTCAGTTAGAATTATCTCCCTTCGTGTAACGTTTTGTATGCGTCTACTTTTGTAACATCACCACCTACCTAATTAATGTAATTAACGATGATTGACTGGTGAGTAAATGAAATTAGTGTTTTCTAAATATTTAATCATACTTTTATAAGTGAATAAATATATATGTCTTGCGTATTTTCGGTTATGAGATAGTTTTTGGTGGTTTATTTATCTGCAAAATAATGAAGACACCCAGAATGTTACATCAAATTTTATATAAAGACTAATTGAAACCAGTACTGGGGGCTGGAAGTTCTGACACATAACAGACCATAGAGTTAACGGCATATACGTGAATACAATAAGGTAATCATTCGCTTCTTACTGCAACCAGAAGCTCCTGCATAAGGGGTCGCCTGAATTAAGCTAATCTGGTATGGTAACCGTTATTGTACGTGTGGTTGGTGCCGGTAAGTTGACGGGTCATGTACGCCAGAAGCTCCTGGATAAGAGGTCGCCTGCAAAGGCTTCTCTGGTGCGCCTGACTGCTGATACAAGAACTGACACATTAATTAGTGCTTGGTAACAGCAGGACACTGGTAGGCGACGTCGGAGCTGCACGGTGGTCAGCTCAGCGATCGAGGACGTGCCTGTAGTGACCTTGTCGTGGTGCTGGCATGCTGTTGAGTGTTGCGGTGTGTTGAAGTCTTGTGGTGTAATCTACGTTCAGGCGATGGTGTAGGGAGGACAGGGGTACTGTCCTATTGTAGTATAGATTTATATATTGTTCGTTAGTTTGTATTATTTTGTTCATCTGTTCGGTCAGGTAGCCAAGGCTCCCGATCGCCCCTGGAGCACGTAGCTCCGTATAAATTGAGAGCCCGGCGTGCACGCACGCTACCAAAAGGGTGCATGTTACATTTTAATGGTGGTAGCGGTGGTATCATAGTTGAACGTAGCTGTATTTGTTGTATGTATTAATTTGCAATGGATGATATAAACAAAACGAATGAGGAGCTGGAGGCCCGCATCGCGTCCTATGGTGTAGGGCATAGACCAGGAGATGGTCCGGCCAGGCACTCGACTCCGAGGTGTACTAACACAGTGACCTTAGACGAGGAGAACACAGCTGACTCCAGAATAGTGCCTATGCGCAGTTCAGATGTTGATTCTGGTGCTGGTTTGGGGCAGACTTCGGAGGATGCTGACCTACGTACTAAGTTTGTACAGTTTACCCCTCAGACATCAGACAAGGAAAGATACGGAAATAATACTGGCGAAAGGTTGTTGCAGGAGCAACCAGGTCCCTTGTCTGATTACTACAGACATGAATCTGTATGTAGTGAACCACTGGCTCAACCGAAGTATCAGTATGATGACAGGGAATCCCAACCTCGCAGCAAGCGCCCGGATACAGACCGACACAAAGACCAGGCGTACACCATCATTTAATATTAAGCCTGCAACCTACGACGGCAATGGTTCATGGTTGGATTACAAGGCGCATTTTGAATCATGTGCTGCGCTAGCTAATTGGACCGAGGATGAGAAGGGTTTGTACCTAGCAGTTTCCCTCAGGGGCCAGGCACAAGGAGTACTCGGTAATCTTCCAGGTGGACCACCTAACCAATATAAGGACCTGGTATGTGTTATCAGTGAACGGTTTGCTCCACCCAACCAGACCGAACTCTATCGTGCTCAGTTAAGAGAAAAGCGACAAAAGGCAACCGAGTCACTACCAGAGCTGGGGCAAAGAATAAGGAGGTTAGCAAATCAAGCGTCCCCGACTGCACCGTCCGATATCATAGAGGTGCTTGCAAAAGAGCATTTCATTGACGCCTTGATAGATTCGGATATGAGATTGCGGATTAAACAAGCCTGGCCAGCTAGTCTCAATGAAGCTATACGCCATGCCGTTGAATTAGAGGCCTTCATTAAGTCAGACCACAAGCAAAAGGAGTCGCAAGGATTCTTAAGACCTATAGCACAGAAGGCGGTTAATGCCAAACAGACTGACCAGGGAATAAAAGCTTTGACTGAAGTTATGACCAAGATACAAGAATCCCTAGCTGGCCTAAAAACTCAAGTAGTCCATACACCGCAATTGGAGACCGACATCTAAATTCCGCAACAAAGGTACCGGCGGTAAATTTTTAAACTGTGGTGAAAAGGATCATTTTCAGGGGAATTGCCCAGAAGAGAGAAAGGATAATCAGCAAAGTAATAAAAAAGGAAAAGCCAACTCCGCGAAAAAGAAAGAACAAGTTGGTGTGAATAGACAAGATGGAGAGCCAGGAATGTGGACATTCAGAGAGTAAAAGGAACATTTCTAGTGGACACGGGAGCGACTGTTTCTGACTATGTGTTCAAAGCAATATGCAGTAGAAATAGGTACCAGCACCCCCTGACGAATGTGGCCCGCGACATCAGCGAACGGAGAACCACTGGCAGTAAGTGGCCCTACAGTTTTACCATTATCACTTGATAACCACTTGTACATGAAGGGACTGGTGGTAGCCAAGCTATCAGTAGATGGAGTCCTTTGGTTGGATTTTATGAAAGATGAAAAGTGTGTTGTCGATGTAACAAAACAGAAACTTACAATTGGACTGCAGGAGGTTGTGTTGTTCAGTATGGGGAAAATAGGTCCCCTCGGAATCTGAAATGGTTACATATGGACAGGTGATTCTTCCTCCTGGTACTGCTGTGCCCAAGCGTGTTATCATTATCGACACTGCACTGACATTCCTGGACTTTGATCGAGTTTTGATAGGAAAGACTTTGGTCAGCAATAGCGCAACAGTCCTTGTACGGATTATGAATGTATCCCCAGATGTGAAGGTGGTGCATGGAGGGACGGTTGCTGGGTCCGTGTGAACCAAGCAGCAAAGAGAAAGACATTTTAACGCTGGCACTTCAAGATCTGTTAGACACGACCAATGAAGGGCTTAGCAGAAATCAAGTGAAGCAAGTACAAGCATTGCTAGTTCGACATTCCAATGCCTTTGCAAAGGATAATCAAGACATTGGAAAGACCAGTGTTGTGAAACATTCCATCAGCGTTGGTGAGCATCCACCGATAAAACAACCCCTTCGTAGTTTCCCGGTGCATGCAACACAGAGAGAAGACGAGCATATTAATTAATATGTTGGACAGGGGGACCTTCAACTAGTCCTTGGTCGTCTGTTGTCGTCCTCGTAAAGAAGAAAGATGGCAGTACCAGATTTTGTGCGGACTACCAGCGCCTCAATGACGCAACCATCAAAGACGCTTACCCTTTTCCCAGAATTGACGAATCACTTGACCAGCTCTCTTGGGCAAGCTGGTTCTCTAC